ATACTGTATCTCCTGGGTAAAGAGCTGGCTTGTGCATGTTGTAATTCTGTTAGTGTCCTAGCTCTGACATTTGCTAATTTTGTGTAAATAGACACTGTTACTTCACATATCTCAGCCTAATTAACTCATGTGTAAAATAAAAATAATAATATATGTCTGATCATGTTATGGTATTACATGCATGTAGTATATTGTTTAAGTAGTATATGCTCAGTTATTAATAGCTCTTTGTATTATTGCTATCTATTTTTTAAAAAAACTTTGCCAGGACAGAAGAGAAGAAGGGAACAATTACTTATTTTCTCATATTATATTTAGTGACAATATACTAGAATTTTCAGTCGGGGCAAACACCATATCCATTGGAGAATGGATAGCAGTAGACAAGATAAGTAAATTTCATCTGCAAATTAGAGACTTAAATCTTATGAAGGTTATGCTATACTTGCACCCTTGGAAAGCTGAAAAGAAATAAAATTAAACACAATTCGATTGAAAAACTTAAGAAATTTAAGGTCAGGGTAGTATTTAGATGATGAATGTGAGTGTTTAAAAGAAGATACAAAGTTATATAGCTTCAAATACATTGATTCTAGGTAATATACAAGTGATTATTTTCAATTGCATAATAAAGTTTTTATCTGTACTATGTAAAGCTATCATGTCTTTCAATTGTGGTTCTTTTGAGTAAGATATTGACATCATAGTCAATAATGTTCAGGTCATTTATTCTTTACAAGGAAATACAATAATATATTGTAGCATGTCCTAGAATTCACAAAGGTTCATGTTAATTTAGTTTACTATTGAAATGTAACAAATTACAGTTTACAATGTTAAAAGTTCCAGAATGAAAGTTGAGATTAGGTTTATTTAATTATTCACAATTAAGGAGTTTTATTTCCTATTAAGTATTGTTTACTGGTTTTGCACAGATTGTTCTGGCACTCATTCTTTCTATTTATTTAATTTAAAAGTGAGACAACATGATTAAACTCAATAAAATATAAGAACTTTTGAAAAATGTATGAGTCAGACAGATTGTTATAAAAATCTATAACACTGAGAAATATATAGAACTTGAATACAGGATTCAGTGACAGTTCACAATGCAAATTGGACTTATGAATAATTAATACATATATATGTGTATGTATACATGTACACAAAAATTAATCTCATTTTTATAGGAATGATGTGAAATAAAATTATTAGGATTGGATTCATTATGACTCATTTCATTTACATTTGAATGTCCTTTTATACTAAGAAAAAGTTGCAATAATAATGTAACTTAGAGATAAGTGAATATACATTTATAAAAATTTCTATGCATTATGTCTATATTATATGTATATGCATATAAATGTATCTATGTATGTGTGTGTGTGTTACCACAATAAAGAGAATGGCATAATGCCCATTAGCATACAAGTATTTCGGATAAATGATTGGAAAACTAACAAACAGTGATAGATGAAAATGGACAGAAACTTTTCAGACTAGAGAAACAGTATTGCAGTTCAATGGAGAAATTTTCTCTCACCATAATCCTGGAATTGGTCAGGATTTGGACATATCACATGGCAGAATGATATGAAAGTGATATATAGTAAATTATAATGAAAGTTTGTAGTTCTTTTCTCCATACTGTGTTTGAAGCACATAATTCAGGAAAAATAAAAAGGCATTGTAATTTTTTGTAAAACTACAATTAACACGATAAGACAGATTCAAGAACAGACTTAAAATAGGAGCAGAATAACCTTAAAAAGATACAGAACAGAATAACGGAAAAAAAACTCGAACTTGAAATTATTAACTACAAAAACAAAATCAATATAACTGGAATACAAAGATGAAAATATAATCATGAAAATAGAGGAAATATACATAGAAGAGAGAAAGTGACAATCAATGGTAATACAATTAGCTCCTAAATATACAATATCCAAAACCAAAGATCAAAAAATTCCACAAAGATATAACAACAAAAGAGAAACCCACAGGGTAGGAAATCATCAAAGAATGAATGCAAGAACTGAAGGTTCTGAACCCTGGGATATCTGATCCTGAGAATGAGTAAAAAGAAAAAAAAATCGACTCATCAGTGTAAAATTCTATAACATCAAGGAAAAAAATTCTGAATATCATCATGCAGAGTTGTATCACATATAAATGAGTATCACTCCTCATCATTTCTATCTCATCACCTGGGTTGGATTGGATACTAGAATAGAATAGGAACTACTTTCAAAATGTTGAGAAAAATAAGTTTCAAATGAGAATTGTGCACTAGCTAAACTATACATTAGGTGAGGAGGCAATAAAAAAAACATTTTCAAGGAAGGAATAATTGACAAAATCAACCCCCCACCCCCCGCCACATAAACACTCCTCTTTTCTCAGTAAGCAAATGAGACTGCTTACCAACCTTTATCAGTTCTTTCTTCAGATTAGCCATAGTTTAGGAACCACTTTAAACATAATGCCTGCATAATGACATCTAATTTTAGGAATTTATATTTTTAGTTCAATAGTTTCAGAAAATTTTCCAACGATTTCTGTAGGCATAGAATATCCTTCTGATCTTTTCTTCCTGTAATTTGTTTATTCTTTTTGACTCAAGATCTGGGATCCAGTTATTTTAATACACTTCTTTCCCTCTTCCTATGTACCTTTAATTGTATTCAATTTTGCTGAAGAATTTTGACATTTGTACCTAAGATAGCTGCCTGGCTCTTCCGATGTTGGAGAATAGTGAGTTTTAATGCATAATCTATCCAATTCATAGATCAAAGATTTCTGTTACTTATATTATGCTTTAAAGAGTCTGTGAATGTAACAATTTTATGTAATTAATCTGTAAGTAATTTAATGAATTTAATGGAATTGTAACTAGAATTTTAAAGTCAAGTAATTTCAGATGAAATCTATACAACACTAAGTGTAGCAAATTAATTTTAACAAAGCAAAAAGGTCACTGGGAGGCTAAGGAACTTGTCTTGTATTGTTAGTGAGAATTTGTTGCAAAAGCAATTTTAGATTATTTCTAATATTTTCCATTATTTCACTCCTATGTGTTAAGCTAATATTTCATTGAATACAATTAAAGGTAGTGTTTTAATAATATATAGGTAACATACATACGTTACATATGATATTTGTATATATACTTCTGAAAAGGTAAACAGGCAAGGCAATGAGAAATTACGGTTTAATGACTATTGATAGTCAATGTTCTTGGCATAAATTCTGAACATTTTTATATTGCTTAAAGTTTGAATAAAGGTCAGTGATTTTTTATTATAAATAAAAGTGATTCCAACATATTACAAGTATTGAAATACTAGGATTAGTGCTTGTCATAGGATAAAAGATATTCCATAATAATACTTTTAATTTATAAGTATCCAAAGACCTCTCTTCACTATATCATTCCTCTGGTTTTTCAATGCATCGCATAGTATTTATATTCAAGTTTTTTTTTTCCGATGCATTTGGTTGCTTTAAATCAAATACTTTTTTGAAAAAAAAAATTATTTTAACATCTGTGTCATTGTTATGAGCTAAATCATGACTCTTTAAAACTCATGTTGAAGTCCTAATCCCTGTTGCCCTCAACATGACTACATTTGGAGATAGAACTTTTAAAGAGGTAATTAACATAAAAAGAGGCCCTATGGGCGAGCCCTAATCCAATATGACTGATATCTTTATAAGAAGATAAATTAAGACACAAATTGCACAGAGGGAATAACACCTGATGACAGAGTGAAGATAGTCATCTGCAAACCAAGGAGAAAGACCCTCAGAAGAAATCATCTATTCCAACACCACGATCTTAAAGTGGTAAGCCTCCAAACTGTAAAGAAATACATTTATGTTTTTTCAAGTCACTCAGTTCATACAATTTTGTTATAACATCCCTAGTGAACCAACGCAGTGATGTTGCAAAAATAAAAACTTGAAGTGCTTTTTAAAAAGTTTTATTAGTTTGTTGAAAATACAACCTCCCAATTTCTTATTTTTGCATAGCATCTCAGCCATGTGATTTTAAATGTCCCACCCCACTCTAATTTTCTTCATGCCACTATTGCTTCTGCTGTATGACTGTATGCAGAAGCAGTTAGATATCCCCAACAAAATGCAAAATGCAGTAACTCCTGACAGCAATCATTTTGTCAACCAGAAGTCATCTTGCGTATTAAGCTTCTCGGGGGCCATGCACCATTCCACAAAGCAAATCATGTTGCCAGGGAAAACCCAGAATTTGCCTCGATTTTTCTCTCTAGTATGGTTCTATCATAATCAGCTTTTTAAAATGTTTTATAAATATGTCCCAAAGCATATTGTACTGTAAACTGATACACTACAAGATTGTTGTAATGCATTTCTTAGGGATGAGACAGAGGTGAAATTGGGATGGTGAATGAAGGAAAACAAGTTCAGCAGTCGTTCCTGATAAAGAAAAGAGAACACTCAAAAGGGAAATACCAAAAAAGAGATGGGAAAGGGATATTTAGATAGTTCCATTGCCACAGCATAATTAGCAATCAGATGAGTAGAACTGAATATAATTTTTCTATATTATCCATAATTATACCTGTTTTCCCCACACGTGATTTTTTGCTTCACTGCCTTGCAAGTATTAAATATATTCATAAATATTTCATAAATACAGCTAGATATTGACCACACCTTCAGGATGGACCTATAAGCAACTTTAATTTTTTTCCTATATATAATGTCAATATTTCAGTAGTCACTTTTAGAGTTAAAATGTTCATAAAATGTATTAGCTTATAATTAGTAGCCTCTGTTTTCTTATGTGTGTTTCTAGATAGTGTACAATCCAATTGAAAGTAATATAATTGAGTATAGTTTACTAATATGCATATAAAATCTAACATTTCTTACAAATTTGCATCAAATTAAAAAGCTCTCTATAGGGAATTTGTAAGGATAATGTACATTAGAATTATTGTAGATAAGAGAGCAAAGACATAACTCTAAATTCCAGTAGAATGATGATGATCACAAAGTTGAAATCTATGTTAGTAAAGTCAGTGAATCAGCTGCCTGAATTTGCATTTGTGTTGATTTTAGGATTTAGTCATTGGTTTGAACTTTCTGAAGTCCCTGATTTTTTTGTATGTTCAGTAATATATAATAAATATTTTTAGACATGTTATAAATCCATCCTTTATTATTTGATATGTATTTTATTTTTATTATTGTTCAAAGAATAGCTAGATTGTAAGAAACTCTGAGAAGCTATATAATGAATCTATCTTCCCATGTTTAAATTAATGGCACTTTTCCCTCTAGGAATTTTCATAGAAATACAACCTGAAATTTTATCTGTGACTTTAAGTACTAATGACCTGATTACTTTTTAAAACCAATTTTCAACACACCAGTACAATATTAAACAAAACCAATATTTATTTTAATGTGTAATTTGAGCCCTGAGGCCTCTCTTTATAAAGAGGGAATTTTTTTTTTCTATTTTCTTTTTTGAAGTTTTATTTTTTGGAAAACAACATAACATTTTAATGAACACTTTTAATATTAACTAATGTTAAAATCAAACATCCCTTTTAGAATTCAAAACTTACATATTGAACTTGATATTGTCATACTTATTTCAATTTTCTGAAAGGGTGGGGAAAACAAATATGTTTTGGCATACAATTTAAAAAAGAAAAAGAAAACCCTTTGAATTATAAGAAGATGGAGTTCAGAAAGTATTCTTTTTTTTCTCAAAAGGAATGAGGAGAGTCAGCATGTTGCTATTGCTCCTTGACATAAAGACGATTTCATTGTTTTATGTCCTCTTTATCTCTGAATCCTGCAATGCCATCACAGCAGAGTGTACTGTATACCACTTTAAATGATAAGAGTTTCAATAGGCACTTTAGTGGAATTAAGAAAAATCTAACACTCTTCCACCGTGATGCCACATAGCTATCTTCGTTCAAGGTTGTCATGTCAGTAAATTGTATTTAATAGGCCTGAGCTTGTCTCAGTGTGATTCTGAAAAAAACAAAAGAAAGCAAGCACATTATTATAGGATTTATCTTGTGTCGGCAGAATAAACCAAAACTGACAATATGATAAATATAACAACTTGCTAGAAATCAGATAATCAAAGGAATCTTGTCCTATAAAGCCTGTGCGTGTGTGTGTGTGTGTGTGTGTGTGTGTGTGTGTGTGTGTGTGATTTCTATTTATGTTTCTTTTTCTTTTTTAAAAATTTCCCCTCTTGTTAATGTTTTAGCCTTCATGTTTCCCTTAAGTGACTTTATCAGGGTTATAGCTCTCTTCTTCACCAAACATGTCTGCCAAGACTTTAAAGCGGGGTCCCCAGTCTGTCAGATAGTCGTAGTCCTGGTCAGCTTCTGTGGTGACAGAGTCTATAGAACTGAGGGACTCGGCCACAGATCCATTTCCTTCATAGGCGTATGTGGCCAATGAATCATATGGTGGAGCAGTTGGGTCTACATCATTTTCCTGCAGCCTTTGATGAATGAAATCCCTTATGTCTGTGTTATCTTCCACTGGTGGTCTCTGACGAGGTAAACAGAGAGAGTCTGGTTTTATATCCCTGCGAATTTTATTCTCTTCAATCACTTTTGGGTTTCTCAGAGCGCCAATATCGAAAGCCTGGGTGTCCTCCTCCCCACCTCCTTCATCATCATAATGAATGACGTTGTCTCTGATGTCTTCTTTAGAAGTCATGAGGGTATCTTTTTTCTTCTGCCTTCTCAGTGCTATATACAGCACAACTATGGCTGAAACAAGGAGAAAATTGCAATTGGAGATTAGAAAGCCGATATATGATTTCATCTCTCCATAAAAAATTACAATTGATGAGGGCTGGTTGATTTCTTTAATGGCCTTCTATTACTTTCAAAGTAAATATGCATAATCAAGAGAATCATGTATATGTTTAATTTTTTTTTTATCTAAAGTCACCTTTGTTTTGAAATTGTGACTAAGAAGAAACTATAGCAAAGTCAAAAAATTGTGTCCTTATTTAAGTATTTTATGGTCAGGTAAAAAAATCACATGTTGCATAAATTTTTTAAAGGAAATAATGGTTGTTCTAATCACAGGGAAAAGTTATAACAAAACTTGAAAATTATTGTCCCTAAGTTGACTTAGATATTGCTTGTATCTAATTTCCTAATTGTAAATTCCCAATTATAAATTTAAAATTTGTGCTTCTAATGCAATAAATCTAAATTTTCACTGTGACAATATTTCAGAAAGCAATAAATACGAAAGAAAAAGAGAGGAATTAAGGAATAAGGAAGGAAAGAAGGCAGGAAGAAATATAAAGGACTCAGTTTCACAAATTTTGCCAACTGAACCCTCTATTTTAAATCTGTATCCTGCCTTATTGAGACCTTTTCCAAATCAAATGTCTAATATTTAGGTGACCATCATGAAACAAGATAATATTTTGAACTAATTAATTTATACACTTTCGTTATTGAAATCTCTCTTTGTTCCTAGTTGATTCTAAGCTCTCCTTTAAATCAGTTGTGTTTATTTTTTTCTATGGATGAGTAGGCATAGGTCCAAATGATTAAGCCAGTGCTCAGTTTTTCTTGTCATAGTGACCTCCTCTGCTCTATAGATGTGGCAATATGGTAAAAACCAAAATGGGTGTTTAATTTACCACAGCAGAGTCTGGAAGACTCCTGTCAGAAACTTGGAAAGCCAAGAAGAATGTATGATAATAAAATTCCACTTATTCCCTCTTTCTCCAAAATTAAAGTTGGGCCAGGTAGAAGGAAGGAGAAGATCTAGTTAACAATGGACTTTGAGGAGATGCACTCCTTCCAAAGATTTATGGAATCCCAGATCTAAAGAGAGGGTTGTTTGTTCATCCAAGAAACACAAGAGAAACTGTATGCCTCACGGAGAAGCCCTGTATTTAAAATGAGTTGTGAGTCACCATGGCTGAGAGACTAGTTGGATGTGCCTGAGGGCTACCTAAAAGAGACCTGAGCACCACAAACGTATGTGATTCTTCTTATTCAGAAAGGATGTAAGAATGGCTGAGAAAACACTGGAAGATCTAAAGGAGTCTGAGATTTGTCAAGGAGGTCAAAGAAAAGTTGGCTTTTTAAGCAGATGCCATGGCAGAACAAAGAATATCAATATTCACTTTGTATACCAGCAAATTCACAATACCTAGGATAGTGCAGAGGCCCTGTGGACATTCAGGAAGAATTTGTATGAATGAGTGAAAGGTGGTAGTACATGAGAATGATGACCTGAACAGATGACTTGCTACTGTGTATGATGGCCAAAAACACCAAATAGAATACCCAGAAAGTGCCAGATAATTCTAGGTTGATTCTGTCAACCTAAACAACAAACACAGATAATCTATCTAAAAGCATACATATTTATTTGGGAATAGAGCATTGAAATGATAATATGCATGTTATAGTAAACTATATGTGTGTTTGGGGAGGTAAAGGAAGACAATGATTTTTTTGAAGAAAAAATGGAGAGAATCCCTTCATTGTTTGAAATATTTATCCTTGACTACAAAAATTAATAACAAGGGTGACACTAAAGTTAGATAGGCAGTAGCTGGGCAGATGCTTCAGACGTATCATGTATAAGATTGTGATAATCTTTCTGCAAGGCTGTAAATTTTGCAGTTGTTTTTTGTTGTTGATGTTGTTGTTGTTGTTGCTGTCAGGTATATAAGCATGAGAACTATCTCTTCGTAGCCTTCCCTAGCTCTATTTATTAGGATTTTCTTAACATTAGGGACTCTATGTTTATTCTGACAACGTTCACAATACAAAAATATTTTAGGACTCAGCTACAAAAGAAGAAAAGAGCATGGGAGAGAAATAATTGATTTGAAATTAAACACCTAATATATCATGTTAAATTTCAAATGTGAAACGTTATTTTGAGTGTGCTCTTTTAAGGTTTATATCACCATCACAAACAGATACCAGGGATAATTTATTATAAACTATAAGAATATAAAGAATAATTTGTTCTACACACAAAAGTAGTTACTCATGTGGAATTAAAAGCTATAGCATGCAAATTGTACTAGAACTTCAGTCTGAAGCCAGCATGAGCTTCTGACTAAGGATCTGTTCTTTACAGACTATTGTATAATGCCTTACTCCATACTTCATGCCTACTAATTTTTTAACACTTTCTTTCCAAATCTGTATTTTTTAGGTTGTTTGTGGTTAGATAGCAAAAATGCATATATATCTGATTCCACGTTGATTATATCTGTTGTAATTTGATTCTAAAGGAATGACTGGCAAGACAGAAAATCTCTATTTTTGTGAATCTGGCAGTAAATTAATAAGTGGAATGGAGAAGCTGAACAGAATTGATGGAAGAGGGAAACCCCTGAAAAGGTTTATGTGCACTCCCACAGAGATGTTACAGAATACATTTACTTCAATCTTTTCAAACTTTTTTCAATCTTTTTCCTGTGCAGTGCTTCGAGATATTTTAGTCTGTTCCGTTCAGTTCTGGTGGAAATGGTTAGAATTCTGATATAAGGAGATGTGAGACAAGGAGAATTACTTCTGGCTGGCAGTTAAAACAGGGGGAAAAAATGGGGGATTCCTTTGCATTTTCTTTTTTTCTTTCCCTTCACTTTTTTTCCTGTCTTTACTGAACCGGAATTGGAAAACTATTATTCACCTAGTCTATATTTTTGAAAATTATATAACCTATTATGGGCAGCATAATTTATAGGACATAAGATAAATTGAGAAGCTGTTGTTGTAAATAGATATTTATTAGAGAGAAGTTCATTGTGACAAGGGTCACAAAATGGTATTACCTGGAAATCGTCTAGGGGTAAACATATTTTTTACAAATTTTTGATTATGTTAATTATTCTCAATAATATATATTATCTCAATGATCTATATCCATGAGGTATGAAATAAAAAATAACTTTAATAAAAATTTGACTTAATTCAGATAGCTTATTCTATCTAGATGTAACATCTCAGTGAAGAAAAAACAGATTTACATGGTAACTTAAGGAGAAAGGGGAGAGAGAAGAGAGAGAGAGATTAATATTAAAACCAACCTAGGAGTATAACAATGCATAGTAGGATTGCAATCAAAGCTCCAGTGCTAAGTCCTACAGGTAGAAAAATTGCTTCCACATTACAAGACAGGATGGTACCATCAGAATCACATCTACAAACTCGAATAGTCATTGTGTTTGTGCTGCTCTGTACAGGGTAACTGCTGTCTTCTATTACAACGGGGAGGAAATATAACTCTTGCTGCCTGCGGCTGTATCCATTTCTTCGGGTTTCAATTCCAGCTGTGTTGTCTACAAAACATGACATTTATGATGACATAGTTACTATGGGCTTCACTTCAAACCTTAGAGTTGATATCTGCTAAGTAGTAGAAGCTTATTTTGAATCAGAAAAATGCATCCTTATTTTAATTTTTTCTTTTATCATTATGAAAGCTGTCAAAATATAATCAAAATAATCATTAGGGAAAGAAAGAAACATTAATAGTGTCTAGTAAAAGAATTAAATTTTCTATTCAGAAAACTTATAGAATGATTTATAAGACAGCAATTGTTTTAAATTGCCCTATTTTTTTCTAACATTAAAATCTTATTGAAAACATACTTTGTAGATTTTTTTTATGCAGTGGAAAAGGAAAGATTACAAAGTGTGAATCTGTAAAATATCTTAAATAAAAACTTATTCCTTAAAATATATTAAAATCAATCCAGCTTATATGTCATATGTACATATATATATGTGTACGTGTGTGTGTGTGTGTGTGTGTGTGTGTGTGTGTGTGAAAATGATTAATAGAAATTAATTGAAAGTTTGTTGTGTTTGCACACTTGGGACGAGGTAGGAGCTTGGTATTCTTGAAACCAACTTATATCAAAGGGAAGCTTAGCTTTTCTCATGTTTATTTTTAGTTTATTATATATGTGTCATATATGTTTGCATATGTTATATATGTTTGCATGTATACAAATATTCTCACTTCTGCATGTCAGCAGAGTAAGAAACATGGAAAGAAAAATGAAGTGTTAGCCGGGCTCGGTGGCTCAGCCTGTAATCCCGCGCCTTTGGGAGGCTGAGGTGAGTGGATTGCCTGACCCCGCGGGTTCGAGACCCGCCTGGGCAGCGAGACCTCACCTCTACAATAAATCAAAAAATCAGCCGGGCGTGGTAGCGCATGCCTGTAATTCTGGCTACTTGAAAGGCTGAGGCGGAAGGATCGCTGGAGCCCAGCAGGTCGAGGTTGCGGTCGCTGGGAGTGGTCACTGCACTCCAGTCTGGGCGACAGAGTGAGACTCCAACTCAAAAAAACCAAAACAAAACAAAACAAAAAAACAAACAAAAAAAAGAAGTGTGTCAAAAACATCAATATTCATTATATATTTTAGACACCATGAATTATAACTATCACCCCTTTAGCATAATTATAAAAGTAATTCATTATCATTCTGATTAAATAATGACATATACTTGCAATAATCCAAGGTAATAAAAACTTCTACTTTCATATAAATGCTATTGATATTTTATTAAAAGTGTTATTTTGCTATTTGCTTATTTTATTTCTACACAAAGAAACAAAAATGTTGTTTTATTTATAACACTATTTAATTTTATGTGCCAATTAAAGTAACACTATTTTTAGAAACATATGGATATGTAATTTATTATATTCATGCACGATACACACTTGAGAAACAGGTAAAATAATTTGAGAAAAATATATTATTTATTTCAATACAAGTCTGTCAGAAACATGTTACTATTTCAATCAAATTCCATTTCTGTATTTGTAGAATTCAAATTCAACAACTGAAATTTAGGCAGTTTCTCCACACTCATAACAAAGAGAAGCATCAAGATGAGAAAACTTTATGTGATATGATTAGGGAGCAAAAATGGTGACTAGTTGAAGCAACATTGAATTCTTCAGCAAGTGAGGGTTGAACACTTAAGTCTGGGTAAAAGGAACAGTCAAAGAATAAAGTTTAAACCTGGGTGAAAATTATTAGCGGGAACAGGAAGTTTGATGTGTTTGCACTTGGGAAAAGGTAGGGGATTTGGTATTCTTGAACTCAATTATGTCACATGACTTCCTAGTTTTTTTTAATGCTTATTTTCAGTTTATTATATATTGAGAATTGAACATATAAAATTTATTGTGCTATCTATAATGAGAAGAAAAAGACACATTACACATCATTTCTACTCTTAAAGTGCTTTGTATTGACCAAAAAAAATTATACATGCAAATATAACAAGATAAAAAAGGGAACACAGTAAATTACATGAAATTTGGTATCAGGTACATATTAAGTCCATAAGAAAACTCTCTGCTATGAGGAAAGATGATATGGTTCACATTATCATCATTGGTCTGATATAAGTTCACTAGCAACAATACAATGTGGAAAATATTAATTATGTTTGGTGAAATGTGACCATTTACTATGTTCAAGCCTGTGACCTGGAAGTCTGATTATCTTCTCCATTATATTAACATGTGAAATCTAGGGGATCTATCATTAAGCTTTATCAATTCTATCTCTATCCACTTTACTCCTTCCTTACAGTAGACTACTGAAAACTACCAATTGCTGCAATGACATCAGAACTAATTTCAACTCCCTGTAATGTCTTGTCCTTATGTATCTAAGCTAATCTTTCTGAAATTCAAACCTCAATATGATATCTCTTTCTTAAACCATTCAAAGACTACTAACGTCACTGGATCTAAGTTATTACTCCTTTTAATATTTCGCAGTCAGGTGACCTATGGTTTGACTTGTCTTGGACAGCCTTATTTTATGTGTGTTGTTAATATTAATACTATATTCATATTAAAATTAACTTAATATTATTCATATTGCCCAATTCCATTCTCAAAAATGAACAAAAACTTATCCAATTTTTATGATGAAGTATATAATCACTATACTTATGAAGAACTTCAGGTTTGTAACACTGTTTCATTTACAGCCATTTCTTACATTACACTATTGTATTCAGCTTCCTTAAGTAATAAAATGTTGAGACTCTGATTTTCTTCCCCTAATTTTCTTACCCTATATGTTCTCAAAACATCCTTTGATTTCAATCATCATTATTATCACCTTTCACAATCTTTTCAGTTCTATATGCATGTAACTTATTAATATTTATCTCTTTGTTATCCAATATTATAAACTTGGGTGTTTTGATCCATATTTTATAGAATATGGAAACATAGAGGAGATAAAATACTCAAGGTCACAGAATGAATACATCAGAGCAATTGACTGGTGTTCAACCTTAATATTCCTAATCAAATGTCATTTATATTTTTGTAGCAGTGTTAATAGCAACAGATGTAGTAGTGTTAGCAGTAATGATGGTAGCAGTAGTGGTAATAGAAGTGTAAGGGTAAACATGATGGCAGAGGTAGAAGTTAAAATGATCTTGATGGCAACATATTTTAGGCATGTGGCTTTACATATATGATTTTATTTATTATAATATTCATATTCTTTAGAATAATTTTCTATATCAAGACTCTATCATTTTGGTAGTATTAAGAGGGGAAGCAAACCTATATTATTCCAATGTCATGGCTACATTCTTTTTTTGTTTGTTTGTTTTGAGTTGGAGTCTCACTATGTTGCCGAGGCTCGAATGCAGTGGCATGCAGCGTCCACCGACTGGGCTCAGGAAATCCTTTTGCCTCAGCCTTTCAAGTAGCCAGATCTAATTTTTTTTATTTATTGTAGAGATGAGGTCTCGCCAAGTTGCCCAGGCTGGTCTGGAACCGGTAGGCTTTAGTAATCCTCTCACCTCGGCCTCCCAGAGTGCTGGGATTATAGGTGTGAGCCACTTTGCTCAGCCCTTTGGCTACATTCTTATCCTGTGCTCTACTAGGTGTTATTCAAACTAAACAACAACTAAAAAGTTACCCATTTGTATTTACAAATAATGTAAATAATGTGTGTGTGTGTGTGTGTGTGAGAGAGAGAGACAGAGAGAGAGAGAGAGAGAGAGAGAAAGAGAGAGAGAGAAGTAATATATTTAAAACAGGGAAAGCATTCAATTTCCCACAGTCTTTTGTTCACTTGACTCATTAACAGACTGTTCACATTCGTAATGGAAGTAACCTGCCTTATTAGATAAGTTAAGTAGATTAAATATCTAATTTACTACTAGCTATAGAATTTTGCATTTTTATATAAAGATTTACATACTTTATGAAATGGAGTGCTTCTAAGGAGAGCACTGATTCCTCTCTTTGTGCCCTTTTACAAGTGTACATGATAAGAGGTAACTCTTTATGTGATTATACTTACTTCTAAAGTCACGGACTGTAAAATTTGGTTTAATGGCAGCCTCAGGTGATAATCTAAAGGAAAATTGCTGCCCAGCAGGTGAAAGATCTCGGTCCGCAGCACTGACTATCTGAATTATCTGAAACAACATTGAGATTAAACTTGAAGTCAGTCATCAGTTTCAAAGGGAACTTTACACACCAGGCTAATACGTTTATTTAATGAAGCATGCAAGTAGACAGAAATGACATTTTATGAATCAATACCAGCGGTCCAATTATTTACACATAATTTTATAAATAAATGTTTAACATTTACTGGTAACGATGGCAGGTGCAATTACAAGACATGGGCTAATTCCAGATCAATACCTGCGTAACTAAAAAGCTTACTAGCATTGAAAATTCTCACTAATAAGCAAAATAAAATTCAAATGTACTTTTTTGAATTTAAAATGAGATTAAATAAATGCTTTCTAGTCAAATCATGAAAATGCTTACTGGAAACAAAATCTCTGATTATCTAAAAGCCCTTGGAATAGCAAAATTGTGGTACAGTTATGTCTTGTAACAATAGATTTTATATTCATAAATAAGTAAAATGAAGAGAAAGAGAAATACAAAAACTATTTCTGTTGTTGTGTTTTCCCCCCATTGGCTAGAAATACAAATTGTGTTTTCCAAGAATTCTTAAAAGACTAAGCACTATCATTCCTGTTTCAAAATCTTTCCTCACTTGTTTCTAACAGTTTTACATCTTGTAGCTACTATCCTGATATTGCAATAAGATGCTTTTAAAATTTTGGAGAATAAAAATAGCTTCTGAAAGTCAACTGTGAAGTGTAGAATTTACTATGTAGAAAAGTAAACAAGAATGGCTTTGAGGTGCTTATTTATGAACAAATCCGATAGTGAATTTTTGGAAGTGTGTGTGGGAGAAGACAAGAGCAGTGTGCTGGCTAGGTGATCACACTCTTAGACCAAATTTAAATTTGCCAGAAGAAGACTTTAGATTTCAAGTACTATATTCTGGTCCCATGCTATTAAACATATAACAAAGTTTACACTCATTCTTATAACTATGGATCCCATTCTTGTATCACTACAAACAGAGATAACTGGATGGATACATAGATGATAGAATAGATAGATAGACAGATAGATATCACTGGAATTTTGAGTGTTCCATGCAGTATTAGTAATTTATAATTTAAAAAAATTATGGGTCCTCTGGTGTGAATTTTAATTACTTATTTTACTGTAAATTAATTGCACGGTATCTATTTACCTTTTAACATTATAATGAGTAAGACTTTTATTATCTAATGCCAAAGGCTAGATCATGGCATGTGACAATTTAATCAAAGAATCACCACATAGTCCCTCTAAAACTTCAATTTCCCTTCACTGAGATCAACGTGTCCTCAGATCATTATATTCACACTATTAAATTTCTGTATATTACTTAAGGACCAGGAACTCATTGTCAAAATGTTTTGTTTTCCTTCCTACTACTATCAACAGGTACTATTTACTAAATTATGTTTATTCAACAACAAAATGTATGAAGTACATAATTCTAGAATAAATAAAAGTCCTTAAGAACAGCACACGGATATGAAAAACTTGTTATAGACTGACAATCATCTGGAAGTATCACTTGGCAGTCACTGCCACAAGGAAAACAACTCCCATATAAATCTTTACTGATAATCTTTATATAATATCACCTTTCTTCCTACTCTGTCTCTTTATTTCAGTAGATAGATTATTGATAAAAATAAATGATAGAAAAAAGTGATAGATGGTTGGATGGATAGATAGATAGACAGATATTCAAGAATAATCCAGAAGAGATAAAGATAAATTGTTCCAATGCATAACTGTTAGGTCGGGGACAGAATGACTGGGGTCAAAAGGAGAAAATACTCATATAGTTACACTTCCTGAAAACTCAGAAGACATTTTAAGATTATACTTTGTATACAAGTGTGGCCCAATAGGGAACAAAATGTCCTACAGATACTTTTTTAGAATAAGAGCCTCCAAGGACGCAACCGATTCCTCACAACTTTGTTCAGATATAAGAGAAACAGGTTGATCTCAAATATTTACCTATTCACAACCTAGTCCTTTAATTTATTAGACAAATTTACAGCATTAAGTGAAGCTCCATTTACAAAGGTTTTCAGTTGGAGCATTACAAGATTTTTGACTAATCTGAAATCATTAATATCCTGAATCATCTAAAGGATAAAAAATTGGCTGGTGTGCGTGGGGCGGGAGGGAATGTATGCTTTGAGTGGAAATCTAAATTGTAGAATTTTGATAAATATTTTCTAGTTTCCAAATAGCCTAATTAATTATTTTTGGGGGTAGGGGGCAACTGTTTGTGCAGCATCTACGATTTAAGACATTGAAGTAAGCACTGTAATCTTTCCATGTAATTTGTAGATGCATTTCAGGTGATAAACTGTAAGTACACATCTGTGACTATTCAAATTAAGAATGAATATTTCCTACTTGAAAAAAACACCAAATAAGTTATGGTGTAATAAATTAATAATTTTTCTTAATTATCAAAGATTAGAGGAACACAATCCACTAGAAGTAACCATGCTTACAAAAATATTCTATGCCTGCTCAACAAAATGGTATCCACTCATCACATACTATTATTGAGCATTTGAAATGTGACTAGTGTGAATGAGAGTATTGTTTTTTAATTTTATTTTATTTTAATTCAGTAGCTAAATAGCTAATAGATGTCACAGGTTTAGAGCTAACAGTCAAAAGATCTATTAAGCATTGTAAAGCATGCAAATTGAAAAAGATAATTGAGATTACAGAATGAAATTTTTAAACAAAAGTACTGTTCCAAATAATCAGATTTACTTCAGTTAATAATTGAGCTTTCCCAAGATTACTTAAATGGGTAATTATGCTATTTGAAGGCAATAGAAGTGTATAGCAAACCAAAGAGTACCAATACATTTTCCCTTTTAAACTTAGGTGCACAGTATTAGATTAAACATATTCTTGTTTCATAACACAGTCTTAATATATACCCTTGCCTGATTCTTTTTATATTATTCGTTCATTCATTCATAATAGTGTAGGAGGAAAAACTGACTACTCACCACCACCTCACATAAAACCTAGTACTTTGACAATAACTTTCATTAACTATGCAGTTTTCCCTCATAAAATCTCCTTACTAGAATATTTCCCTAGAGTAATACTGACTTAATAAATAAAATGCAATTCAGACACTTTGAATAACCCAGATGTCTTCCAGAGGAAAAAAATTTTACATTTTCAGGTTAGGTTGAGAACTTTCTGGTACCCCTTGAAAACGTAAGAGAAATATCCTGGAAAATGCATTCTAAAGTGCTTTGCTTACGGGGTTTATAGTCACAAATTCCACATGAAGAGAGTGAAAAAACAGCAGAATCCACAAACCTAGATCTTACTAATACAAAGAACGTTCACTAGGCAATCAACACTTTACTCTGTATGGTATTACCTGCACATCCATGCATCTACAATTATTTCATGAGTGTAATATCTCTTATTATTTCTGTATGATGACTTCTAATCCAGAAAAATAAGTATATGTGCATAGTCATGTCTGAATTTATAGCTTAAAACACAAATATAGTGTCTTTATACACACTTAATATACAATATTGGTAGCATACTTGTCCTAGTTTGGCATTTTCACACACAGCAGTCTCATATGGCACAGATATTTCTGGAGGAAATTCATTGACATCTAGGACATTAATCAGTATGTTGACTTTGCTGGTTAACAAAGGGTTACCTGTTAGAAACATAAGAGAAAAGGCGATTACAAAATCTGTACAGTTATTGTTTCTACAACAAATAACATTTAAATAGAAAAAATTCAGCCTTTATATGGAGTGAAAAACACTCTTCCTATTGTGGGAAATTCTGGAGTTTCCAACTACAAGTTAATAAAAGGGTGAATAAATGAATGAATGTGTAGCAGTCAGAAATATAAAGGCACCATACCAGGGTTTATCCCCGAAATTCACCACCCATGTAAGGCCAACTATTGAGTTTACATTCTACCAAAAGTGTAGGCCTTTCCAGAAGAATAACTTAGCCTTCATACTGGGGTAAATTCACAGAATCAAACTTCACCAATAATGATTTTTTTACTCACTAAATATAGTTTTGTATGTTGTACTCACATAGTGAAAACTTTATTGGTTGAATAATCTACCTACTTTAATGACCCTCTCAAAATGATTCTACCTGAAAAAAAAAAAAAAAACAAGAAGGAGAATAAAGAAGAGAGAGTTTTCATAAATTAAAATTAAAAAATACATTTAAGGAAGTAGAAGTAAGAGATAAAAAGCTAGGTTGCATCCTTAAATTACTTTCTGGTGAACAGAAAGGGAAGAATAAACAGATTTTGTTAATAAATGACTTTTTTCTACAGTATCAGAAAAAACATTGGTTTCACTACTTAGTTCTGTCAATATCCCATCATGGGTTTTGTCCCCAACCTATTGATTATTTATCTGCATTTCTGTCATTCATTGAGAAAAAACTAGAAATAATCAATTCAGCTAAGAAAACATAACATAATACACTTCTTAACTTATGCATGCAATACACAGTTTTACCTGTTGGAGTGGTTCAAGATGAATAAACTGTCTAAAATTCTAGAAAAGACTGTCCAGAGTCACAAAGTTAAAAGAATGAGGAATTAGGGTACAAACCAGGATTATGAAAATCCAAAAGCCACATTTATTTCTTTATATCTTTTCTATTGGCCTATTTACATGTTAAACTCTTCTGCAGTGTTACCATGAATTCATAATATTGTTTTAGACCTCTACTTGGTGTGCTTTAAATAATGCATGTAAAAGATTACCACATGACTAATTCCAAGAAAAACGCAATATCTTGCTGAGCTAAATTTCATTTGAAAAACTAATAAAAGCTACTCTAAACAATAGCTTAATTTTTTTCGCAAATTCACATATGAAACAGAGAAATTTACCGCTGTATACCAGTACAGACACAGAACACATAAACGATATATTTTGTAATATTGAGTGTGTTTGTGGACGATATATTGATAATCTTGGAGAATGATTTAGAAAATACATATTGTTTAAAGGCTGATATTGGTCACAGGGCATTATCTTATTTTACAGAAAAAGTTTGGGTCAGTTTTTCCAAGTTAGTTGACTTTTCTTCAACTCAGTTTCACAGTATTAATAGGTCCTACTGAATAAAGTTGTATTAAATGATGTTTTGGAAAATGTTTAATAAATATTGGTAAATTATCATTACTCCAGTTACCAAGAATACTCTGTAGATGTTATGTATTACTGATTCTGTTATAGCTATTCATCACTTATTTAGCACAAAATATAGATAAAAGTTAAGAAGTTGGCTAAACTAGGTCCCCTTTTCTAAAGAAACTGGAAATTTCCAAGAACAACAATAAAACTAATGTCTAAAATTTTATAATACAATGTGGTGATCGCCGGGCTTGGTGGCTCAGCCTGTAATCCCACGCCTTTGGGAGGCTGAGGTGAGTGGATTGCCTGAGCCCGCGGGTTCGAGACCCGCCTGGGCAGCGAGACCTCATTTCTACAATAAATCAAAAAATCAGCCGGGCAAGGTAGCGCGTGCCTGTAATTCCGGCTACTCGGAAGGCTGAGGCGGAAGGATCGCCGGAGCCCAGCAGGTGGAGGCTGTGGTGGCCGGGAGCGGCCACTGCACTCCAGTCTGGGCGACAGAGTGAGACTCCAACTCAAAAACAAACAAACAAACAAAAAACAATGTAGTGATCAATGTTATATAGCATGTTACATGTTATATAGATTAATACATTTAGGGTTCACAGCAACTATGATATAGACATTATTATTTTCCTCATTATGTATGTAAAACTCTGAAAAAGAAAGAGGGATGCAACTTTTCCAAAATTACAAGAGGTAAGACTGGATTTTGAATCCAGGCGCCATGGTTCCACAGCCCATGCTATTAAACTCTATTATAAGAATGTAAGAAAGAAAAAAAAAACAACTTTGGCAATTATATAACTATTCCATATTATGATTTAGTGTTAAATCAATTAATGCGAATTCTCAAACTATTCAACATCTGAGCAATGTGAGACTCAGTCTGTACTTTCTGCTTTACACAATAAAGAAGGTACAACTTCTGAGACCACTTGAATAGGAAGTTTTTTCACCTTTTCCCCAGTATTACAGTTTTCTTTTAATAAGTTAATATGAGGGTGGAATGTCTTCCACAGGGAACAAGAATTCTCATTCAACTAAATTTATTTTAGAATTTTATTTTATAATATATAAAGAGTATTAAAATGAATTTAGTCCTGATTTATCCATCAGAAATTCATTTGTTGTTGACTAAATTATTCATTTGCCTGCAATATAGATCTTAATTTCTGTCCCAGTGAGTTGTCACAAAATTATTATTAATGTTGTAATTTATTTTTATTAACTGTGTTTCTCAAAGGGGTGCTTTTGGCATTTTGGCTCAGACAAATACTTATTTTTTTAGAGAATTCCCTGTGCACTATAGCATACCAGATTTCCTGAAAATTTAATGTCATACAGCATCATTGTAATAATTACAAAATAAATGTCCAAATAAAGATAGAGAAAAAACAACAACAGAAACCTTTTTTAAATGTTGAAAATGAGTAATAAGCTCAGAGTTTATTTCTCTTATCACCTATTGTATATTTGTAAAACTTTTAATGGTTAAAGGTTAAAAAAGGGCACCAGCCGGGCCCGGTGGATCAGCCAGTAATCTCGCGCCTTTGGGAGACTGAGGTGAGTGGATTGCCTGAACCCGCGGGTTCGAGACCCGCCTGGGCAGCAAGACCACATCTCTACAATTAATCAAAAAATCAGCCGGGCGTTGTAGCGCATGCCTGTAATTCCAGCTACTCGGAAGGCTGAGGCGGAAGGATTGCCTGAGCCCAGCAGGCGAGGCTGTGGTGGCCAGGAGCGGCCACTGCACTCCAGTCTGGGCGACCGAGTGAGACTCCAACTCAAAAAAAAAAGAAAAAAAGAAAAAAAGGGCACCATGTGTTTTTTAAGTGACAGCAAATGAAGCAATAACATTTCAGTCTGAGAACTATTGTATTCAAATATACATTGAAGTTTTCACATAAGAATATAATTGATAAAATATAGCATTATCTTATTGATGTATATGTTTTTCTAAATTATGTAGAAAAATTAATGACCTATTTAATTTTTGAATCATCTAATTTATATTTGTAGTAGGGATGATGAAAACAAATTTAACCTTGATTCAGCATGAGTATTGTTACGTAATTATTTGACAGTAACGCCATGTGAAAATTAGTTACTATTGAATACTTATGAAGCAAATTTAATTGTGGACTTAGTAAATACTAAATAATCAAAGTCTTACATAATTAATTGTTAAGTTTCTCATAGTCAAACCATCTAAACTCCAATTAAACCATCTAAACTCCACATTGCTTATATTTAATAACTAGTTAAAAAGTTGAGGTTCATATAAGATAATAAAGGAATAATTCTATGTTTCTCTTACATGCTTTCAAAAATGTTCTGATAGATCTCTTTCTCCTATCCATGATGATATCTCAGTGAGATAACATTGCTTTCAGAGCCAATTTCAGTTAGAATTGCCTTATTATTAATATTTTAAAGTACAGTTTAAACTAAGGGCAAAAAAGGGAATTGTGTTCTTCCACATCAGTAGTAAAGAAGACATTACTTCTTATTATAAATGAAATAAAAATAATAAATAAATATATTAAATGACTTTATGCCAAAAATGATTCAATATTGATAAAATGAACAAATTTCTCTAAAATACAGAAAACGAAAGTGACTCAAGGATAAATTGAAAAATCTTAACATCTCATAGTACTGAAGAAAATTAAGTTGAATGAAAAATATCTCCACCAAGAAAAGTCCATTCTCTGAGAATTGTATCAAATATTTAAAGAATAAAATATCAGTGATTTACAATCTCTTTCAGAAAATAATGGAGGAAACATTTATTACCTCATTCTCTTTGCCTTGAAACCCCAAGTCCTATGAAAGACATCACAGGAGAACAAAAGCACAAACTACTGATTCCCATAAGTATTTGTGTAAAAATTTATTAACAGGATATTAGCAAATCAGTTTCAGCAGCAAGTTAAAAATATAATTGACCATGACCAATTATAACCACATTAATATAAAAAGAACAAAAATTCACATGGATATCTCTATAGACTAAGAAGTTGCACTTGACATAATCTTGCATTCATCCATGATAAAAACAAAATTCAGCAATGACTATAAGGCAATGTCTTCAACCTGATAAATACAGTTATAAGAAATGGATGCCTAACATCATGGTCAAAGACTGAATTTTTTCCCCCTAAGATTGGGCACAGGGCAAGAATATCTGTTCTTGACATTAATCTATATTTCTAACATTATATTTGAATATTTATCTAGTGCAATTGAACCAAAATATTTTTTAAAAGATATCCAGTTGTGAAGAAAGAAAGAAAACTATTTTTGCTTGACGATGATATGACTCTGCAGATATAAAATACTGGAGGATGCACAAAGAAACTAATAGATATAATAAGGGAATATATCAAGGCTATAACATAAAATATAAATATTGAAAATGGCAACATTATGCTTAATATACAATCAAAATATAAATGTGCTAACTTATTAAGTCCCCTTGGAAAATCAAGGAAAATATAGATCCCGCCTCTTCCTTCCTTCCTTCCTTCCTTCCTTC